ATATCCGATCCGAACCGAGCCTCAACTATCCGATCCGAAATGAAATTTCACTATCCGCACACCTCTAGTTTAAAGTAATGTTCCTTATGTTAATTGTGTGATTCTAATGTTATGTGCTTAAACGGTACCATTAATATTAGTGAGTAAAGTGGTGTATGGATTTCATAACCATTATTTTACTAGAGACCGTTGTATTTAACCACAACGGGCACTGTTACTGTTGCTAGTATCAATATAATGCATAGAAAATAATTTTAAAACAACAACAATAGAGCTCATAAATGAACTTCTACATCTGTAAAAAATAGGTAAGTGAGCATATATTTATTTATCCAAAAATTAACTACATTAATCCCTATTAATAAGTAATATTGTATAATACTTGGCTAAAATTACTCAATACTTGCATCTATTAGATATTAAGGCTTCAATTTACAATATAAAGTTTAATATAGAGATTTAGTCTAAAACTTGAAAATTTCCTACCTTTCCACCTTTAGTTTTGTAAGTTTATTACCACTATTCTTAGTTGGTGTGGTTTTTGTAACAGTAGGCCTACAAAATTTCCAATAATTTGACAGTGGGTAAAGGAAAAATAAATGTTTAAATTAAAGAAAATTAAATTTTTTAATCTTGTAGCCTATGTTAATTGTAAACAAACATTCTGTCAAAACAAAATACTCAAAATGTATGTTAAAAATAGAGTACTTAAAGAGGCATTAAAGTAGTCTAACTTACTTTTAAACAAAATAATAATAATTGTATATTGATCATTGTATTGAATAATGTAATAGGCTCATACAATAGTAGTTGAGCGGAGTGAGCGAAGCGAGCGTAGCTCTTTGGGATCAACTTCAATGCAACAAATAGAGAAACATCACTCAATAACGGCTGAACGCATTTCAGCCAAACTTAACCAAATTACTTCGACTAATAGTGAGATGGTTTTTAAACAATCAAATTTCAATTAGATAATACTAATGCAATTTAAAACGAACTTAAAATTTCCAATTTTTAACATTAGGCTTATGGGACTAAAGTAGCCATATGACAGTTTTTTGTTTACAAGAAAAATGTAAACAAGAGAATCATAAGGTATTTCTTAACTTTCTAGAATTTTCTTTTAAACGTTTTTAAACCATTCCTATGATTTTAATAAACAAGAAAATGCCGTTAAAACATTTTTTCAAGGCGCGGAATTCACTGAAAATTGAGAAAATATACGGAACTACTTTCTCAATGCGCGGAGCATAAACAAGGAGCGGAGGGATACGGACCGCGGTGACTACTTTCTTGGGAACCTATTTGTGTTGCCAGCTGATTAGAATTTAGAAACAGCCAATGTTAGAAATCAGAATCTAATAAGCGATATATCGAACCGCATCGAAATCGATATCCGATAATACCTCACAGGTTATATTATGTCGAATTACATCGACGGTGCAGTAAGTCATTACACTTATTAATAAAACGCAGATTGAACACTGATCTAATTTCGGCATGTGGGGAAGGTAGGTCGGGGTTTATGAGTATTCGTGGTTTATGAGTATTAGTGTTTTGAAGTAAGGTTAGATTAGGAAGGTAAAGTGTAGGTTATAGGTAGGTGATCGGGCTGTTTATTTGTGTTGCAACATATAATTTTTATCTTTTGGAATAGTTGGTTAAACGGGGAAACGATTACAAAAATGCTTTCATTATGGTATTAACAAGCCATCTACGGTATTCTAGCATTGTCTTTATATAAGGTCAATGATTCTAGAAAATTACTACATAAAAACCAAATGAAAAGAACATTTGGATTTGGATCTTTGACCATAGCAAAACTAACATGTAATTTATGAAATATGAAAAGTTGTATATCATTAAATACTATTCTGTAATATTAATAATTGTTCGGCAAATCCTCATTTTAATGGCTCGGCTGAAAATGGAATCTGAATTTTGTGAAACAGTAATTTGGTAACAATTCAGTAATTTCAAATGTTGATAACAGTAGCATATCCTGTATAAATACTGGTATTTGATTGCCAAGCCACGGGCTATACATACGTCCAGTTACAACCATAATAATAAGTAAATAAATTAATTAGCTAGGCTTATAGAAGTCCACTTTTAACCACGGTATTAATAATTGTCAAGGCTTGTCCAGAAGTAGGCTACTAATTTCTAATTATATTATCTACATTGTATATTTAAGGCATGTCCTCCCTTATTATTATTATTCTGTTTTCACTTAAATCAGCTGAATGCGATGTTTACTTATTACTTATGTTTAGGCCTACATTTCAGCCATTTTATGTTGCACGGTTGAATTTAAATGTCAAATTTCCCCCTCCTGTTGTTATACTTTAATACTCGTTTTTTTATAGTTACTGTTTTTTTTTTATATACTTAAATACTTTAACCGATTGTAAGGGTGAAAAATGTAGCCCAATGTTTTTTTGTTGTAGGCTGCAGTTGCATTTGAATGTTAAATTATCTTTCTCTTTTTTATACTTTACTTTTTGGATGTTAATATCAGATTCCAACTACTGTAATATTTTCATGGTCAAAACTACCATAATGCACTTCTGGAAGAGGTATCTGAATAACAAGATGTAGGCCTAGTAAAAACAAATTTGAATTATTATAATTTTAATCAATAAAACCAGCATTAGTACATCTATTGACCTTTTTACATTTAATTACTTATACAAATATCAAATCACGTTTGTTCCGCTCAACTGGCTTTCACCTCTCTGAAAGCAACCCTAGTTATAGAAATAAAATGAAGGCCTAACTCACTATAATCAATTGTATTCCATGCACATTAACCACATTAATGTAAAGTTGTCATGAAGGAAAACAAACTATGTAACCTAGATTTAGGCCAAGCCAAACTGATAAGCCTACTTATTGTAAGCTAAAGAATTTGTAATCAAATTTATAGAAGGCCAAGTGCAAGCACTTAATTATTTTGAGATATTTGTAAGCTTTAGTAACAGAAAGCATTTGTTGTTTATTCCCATACATAAAAATTACTTTATTTAGTCTATGTTATAACTCTTTAATAGCTTCAACAAGAAAAAATATGTTGTTATCAATAACTGATGATAACAGCTCAGCTGATTATGAGTAATGCATAGAAGTCCCTAATGGGAATGGGGTGATTATAGTAACCATGGCAACTGGTTGAATGCGTGGATGAAGAGAACCCAAAGAAAAGAAGTGAAAGTATAATGATGTTTTTATGTTGTCATCTTTAAATCCTTTTTTTGGAGTGCTACTATAATTATTGTCTTTATGAATGATTTTATACTTATTTATGAGTTACGGTATCTAATGTTTTACAAGTTTACACAATAATTATTTTCAACCACGGGAACATTAATTTATAATCATCAACTTATAACAGATGTGTTATTAAAGTCAATGACCCAAAACATCATGATTGCGCAATGTTGTATTTTGATGTAAAAATGCAAATCATGGCATTAACTCTAATTTGAATAATATTTATCCTGGTCTCTTGCAGATTGTAATATCAATGCTAAATAATTGTGGTCAATTCAAACTATATTTTTTATGATTCAAATCTCCTACACAAAAAGACAAAAGTCAAACCAGGCAAGGAAAAAAACCTGCTATTGTAATCCCCCTGCCCCTACCCAGCCATTTGGGAAGTGGTGAAAGTCTAGTCTTATCTTATCTCTAGACTATCTGGTCTAAATATAGCTCAATGGTCTCACCCTACCCTTCCCCCCCAACCCCCTAACACCACCCACTGTTGGCTCCTTTCAAGGTAAATAGATTTATTGCTTACGTAACAGTTCAGTAGTGGAGTTTTCTATTGTGAAACAGTACTTTAAAACACCCATGTCATTCTGTGTCAAGTCCAGATTATGCCATTGCCATTAATGCCAGTCAGTCGCAGGTGACTGCTTTGAGTTGACCTATTCTGTTGTGACAGCTATAAAAATAGGTTAGGACAACTACCTCTTGCTTATTTCTACACAGTATAAATATTTGTAACAAAATTATAAAGCATTTTATGTAAACACAAGTTATATTTTAACAAATATTGATTTTTTACAATTTCAAACCAAACTCGACTCGAAACTGCCGAGTTCACAGATAAGCTCGAGTTTCAAGGCCGTACTCGACTCGAACTCGAAATCTCGAGTACTCGCACATCTCTAATTTCTATAACTACTATTGTATGAGCCTATTACATTATTCAGTACAATGTTCAATCTACAATTGTTTTGTTTAACAGTAAGGTAGGCTACTTGTAGGCCTATTTTTTATTTATTTAGGTTAATAAATTTAATTTTCTTTAATTTTAAAAATGTATTTTTCTTTTACCCACTGCCAAACTATTGGAAATTTTGTAGACCTACTGATACAAAAACCACACAAACTAAGAATAATCGTAATAAACTTACAAAACTAAAGGTGAAAAGATAGAAAATAAAATTTCAAGATTTAGAATAAATCTCTATATTAAACTATATATTGTAATTGCAACCTTAATAACTAATAGATTGCAAGTATTAAGTAATTTTAGCCAAGTATTATGCAATATTACTTATCAATAGGGATTAATGTAGTTAATTTTTTGATAAATAAATATATGCTCACTTGCCTATTTTTCACAGAAGTTGAAGTTCATTTATGAGCTCTATTGTTGTTGTTTTAATATTATTTTCTATGCATTATATTGATATTTTACAGCACAAATATTAATAATTAACTAATTTATAATCTTACTTCAGCTTGTAACAAGGTTGTTTTACAAGTTACATGTTCTAGGCCTAAGGAGTTACTTAAACTTACACATCCTTCAATCTTTTTGGTTTAAACTCGACTCGAACTCGAGAACCGAATCTTTTGCCAATTACTCGACTCGAACTCGACTCGACCTGAAAAACCTGTGCTCGCACATCTCTAAAATCCTCACAGCTACCAAAAAGATTGCAAAATGCTCTGCAAGTAAAATACTACAAAAATATTCTACATACTTGTCTGAATATCGTACACTCTCTGTGAGGGAACTCTCGCACCAAGTCTCGTATGAAGCTTTCTACGTACTCTTTGCCCCGAACACTCTTGAGAACCTTACGAGCAAATGCTTCCACTGGATCCATCGGCTTTTCTCTCTCTGCTTGTCTGTAACATACAGGGTGGGATTCAAAGTAATGAGCCTTTGTTGGAAAACTATGATTCACTGATCTGATCAGTACATGGGACTAAAAATCTTCAAAATAGGTAAGGGTAGGCGAGTAATGATCTAGCAATTTGAGTCGAGTCGAGTAGTTGCGCGTAAAGTAGGCCTAGGCCTAAATAGGTAGTTTTAGTATAGCCTACACCAAATTGTCTAAGTAATATGGTTACTACTTATTAGTATTAGGCCTTATAACAAATTTGGCCAAGCCTTTTTGTTGGCTGCAGCATTAAATTTACACATCACTTGTTATTGTGTGTTAGCGAATTTCCCATTTAGGGAATAAGCTATTACCGTAGTACTCATGGTAAGACCTGGACCTGGGACCGATTTACTTTCTAGTTTTGAGGTCCCTAGAGGCCAAAAACACCATCCGTTCAAATTCATATACATATGTATCCGTTAGCACGGTACGAGTTACCAGCAGAAATAATCCGATTTTGTTGAAATTTGGTACAAACGTGTACACCTACATTTATTCAAACGAGTTCACGAACCAGTTTGATCAGACTATGGGAACGGGGGTTTATGGGGTAAAAATAGCGTTTTCCCATTTTTGACCCTAAAACACAAAATTTTACAATTTCTTTCCAAACCATTTGGTAGAGCTTGAAAAAACAAATAATTTAGTATATTGAAGCGTTATTGTGCGCCTAATGGTTACGGAGAAAATTTAAAAAAAATTTATTTAAAATTCTCATGTTATTCTTATAGAGAATAAGTCAACTGTTGTAGTTTGCTTGTTTATGAACATTTTTTGATTGAATTTGAAAAATACATTTATTTCTTACTAAGAATAAAGTAGTCTATTAACATAAAAAAAAAAACAACACTTTTGTACCCTCCCTGTTGCAGCAAAACTAAGAAATCGTTAAAACTAATTCTATTTAAATAGGGAATAAATGTGTTATTTTTAAGGAGGCATTTTAGTGTAAATCCAATCAGGCTAATGGAAATTCGCTTAGTCAGCAGGTTTGCTGAAGCGGGGGTATTTTGTTTTTTCTTACCTTTTCCTCCTCCTCATAAACATGATAATCAACATAGGTTCAACTTAACTAAATAACTTTAACCTAGGTAACTAAACAACTTTAAGAATACTGTAATTTCAATTCAATAAAGAAACAGAATTTGTAAAAATAAATTTATTTATAAAACAGATAACTTAATATAACTACATGTATAGTTAAAAACATCATATGCAATAAAGTATTTTAAAATAATCACTTGGATAAGCACTTCATCTGCCTTAAGTTTGAAGGTTATGGTTACTAGGGCTATCTTCTTCACTCATTACATTTATAAGAATGATAAAGTCACTCGTCTCTGACAGATTAAAAATATCAAACAAAAACGTAGTAGGCCTATTATCTTGAAATAAAATACTCCATTGAACAATTAATTTTAAAATAAACACATTTCACTTTAGCCGGGTATAGCCTTGGTTTACTAAACTCACCACTTTTTAGGTTATGGTACAATTCAAACTGCAGTTGTCATGTTTCTGCCACCAGATTGAAAATTGCACAATCAAAATCACAAATAGAATATGTTTATTTTAATTTATATCAAACTTCAACTAAACAAAATCAATTGTATTATAAGTTACAAATTCACTTCAAAAGTAAAAACATTCCAAACTGACTAGACATATCACTCCATTCCATTATGTTTTGTTGTTACACCATCTCCCTCTGTCTTTCTTTCTACTGCTCATTCTGCTTCTGCTTTCTTTTCCCATCAAATAGCTGTTTTGCAGGGCTGACGTTGCCATATTTATCATTACATCATTATGGTGAATGCCTGCAAAATTATCATAAAATTGCTACAGCTTTTGATTTGTAAACACAAGTTAATGGTTTGGCTAATTTAAATCATGTTTATGTAAATTCATTAGAAAATGATACTTATACTTTGTTCCGCTACCACAACAGTCATAAAAGTACAAAAATTGTTGTCCATCTGGCAACACTACACTCACACTGAAGTGGAATTATTGATCTTTCTGGCTTTCTGCCAAGACCCAATGTTCCTTGCAGTAACTTATAGGCTTTTAAAACTAACACCAATACCGATTAAAGTGAAAAAATACAATGCAATAATAGTTAATTTTTATTTGTTGTATTAATGTATTTTGGTATAAAATATTTTTATGACAATTTAAACTTAATCTAATACTGTACTTTATAATATCTTCAAGAATCATCTGCCTATGACTTAATAATCACGAGACTCCCTTGTTGACTATTGACTGACTACTGTAACTCGATAGATTCATTCAATGCTTTATTTGGTTTAACTTACCGTATCGTTATCGAGACGTATTGTTGGCTGATGTAGCCTAGGAAAGTAGTAAGTCCTCTTGCTAGCTCTGCCGAATGACAATATGGATGGTTGTTTGTTGAACATTTGATTTACTAGCCTCTAAGTTATATTAAGTTAGATGGTCGTTTTTTTTTTTTTTTTTGGAATGGGGATTAAATAAGACATCAACACAAAAACAAACATCATTTATTAAATACAGGCCATAGAAAATCGTGAAGTGGCACTTTTTATAACTACTTGACTCGAGGTCGAGTATTTGGAAAAATTTGAGTAATTGCTTGAAAGTCGAGTACTCGCCCACCTCTAAAAATAGGACCCTAATGCGTCAATACACTTTTGTTTTTTGACTGTCCCAGGTCTCTAAAGCGCCCGCATAGGCCTTTCCAAGATGGCTGCAATCGCCTCCTTGCCAGCAGTTTGTATTGAAATGAGAAACCCCCGTCCTTTTAAAGGAATTTAAAGCAATTTTAAAGCGTGGAAATAAAAAAATGTCAGGGGGAAACATTTCAGCATTGAATGAAGAAATTTAGGATCACCATTGCACATTTGAAGCAGTTCTAGACATCTCAGCGCACTCAAATTTCTTTCTTTTTGCCAGTCAAGAGCCTGGAGACAACTTGGTGCACAGCTTCCGCATGTGCAGATCCTCCGTAATAATGTGTTGCGCCGGTTTCTGCCACTTGAAAATGACTTAACCAACGGTCTGTGATAAAAAATGTGCACACCCTCTGGACCGTTCAGGCTATTGACAAGCGTCCAGACCAGGGCTCATCGCCAACATCTTCCCGGCCATCCTGGAAAACCCTTGTTCCGCTATTTTTGTTTGGGAAATTGAAAGACACTGATCCCCAAAGGCCTGCCAAAGCATGGCAAATGTTTCTGAAGGAGTCTTGCCCAACTAGAGACACAATTTAATTGCTTGTTGTTGTTATAAAGAACTCCATTTCGCTGTGTCATGAATCAACAGACGTTGCTCCTAGAGCTTGGAGGCGGCTTCCACCTGTTGCCAGGTGAAGCAGACATCCTCCAAAACAAAGCGTGATGTTGCACAGCGCTGCTCACGGTTTTGTTCTGTCAGGTAAAACAAGGCTCATTACTTTTGAATCCTACCCTGTATATATCTATGTAGTTTACTCATAAATTATTTTTCAGGGAACGATACACAATTGAATGGTGAGTGAAAAGAGATATGTAGTATTAGAAATGATTGTTTGTGGTTTTTCTGTTTTACCAATTCCTAAAAAAAAAACACACTGTAAAGGAGTCAACTCTTACCCTTTGACATTTTACTTTTATTTCATGAGGTAACTTAAAAATAGAAACCTTACAGTCATAAATCATAAAGAAAATATTTTGTAAACAGTTAAGGTTTTTGGGGTATTTAATACACTTAAGAACGCAGAGAGCGTATTCCTTGCCTAAGAGACCTACAATTTTCTGCTTTCAGACAAGGACCTTCACCTTATAGTGGTACCCCAAACCACCAGTTTGCAGTTATCACAAGCTAATAGCCAGATCATCTAAACTACAAGACCAGTCCCACCATGGATCTTCTATTTGATAAATGAGCTGTGAAGAAAAAAATTCTTTAGCCCAACACCATTCATGAAAAACCTCCTAAAAATAAATCTAACACATACCTGCATTTAGCCACCTCTGCCACCACGCAAGACAGGTAGTGCATTTTGAAGCTCATGAGTTCGTTGGTCTCCTTCCGCCTCATTTCTCGTTCGCTCATTTGTGTCAACACTGTGCGTAGAGGGTCGAGGTGGTTCACTAGGTCAGGCTGGAGGTTTAGTGCGATTCGTATGGGATGCATATTCACCTGAAATAACACAGTACAAGATTACCATCTCAGTTTACAAGAGTTCCCTTATTAGGTTTGTGTGGCTGGATGTTTCAAATTAACATGTTCTCAAACCCAAACACATGCTTCTCTATCTACATAAGTAAAGTGTAGTGGTTTTAGTTTATCTGCAACAGAATTCCTTCTCAATCACATATTCATTCAGATTCAGAGCATTCTTAATTCTTGAAGGTTTCAGATCCTTAACAATATCTCGTACTCTATTGGCAATTTTCAACTGCATTAACAGCTTGTTTAGTTTACCTTATGTTGTTGTTATCTACCCTAGTTCATGTTTTAGGTAAGCCTATTGACTTTTTTAGAATGTGGATTGTAAGTTATTTTTAACTGATAATATGCAATGCTGAATATGCCTAATGGACTAATAGTCATATTTTAACATTAATACTTGTACAGTCCAACCTCGGTAAAACGAATCTGATGGGACCGAACTGAACATTCGTTATATCAACGATTAAAATGACAAGGTTGAGAATCAGCATCGGTCAATATAGGTCTGGATTTGACCTCATTAAAACACAATTAAGTAGCATAGGCTACAATACTTTACAGTAGGCCTACAGTGTTTACATTTTAAAGTAGAACCTTGATTATCCGGGGTAATAAAGAGGGAGGGAGACTACAGATAGTAAAAACCACAGTATAGACCCATGGTATAAAAAATATGAAAAACTCATAAAACACTGAAATACTGTGTAAATAAAAATGTCCATTAATGTCACAATTTACATTTTAAATAACAAAATACAATATTACACAATCATTAATATTGCGCAATCATGACATTTGTAGTCATTGACCTTGGTTCAGGTTATATACTGTAAGTTTAAAATCACAGCTTACTCTTTTAACCCACATAAAACCTAGTCAAGCACTGTATTGTATAGCAATAAACCACGTAAAGAACAAAACAAAACAGTAGAGAGTTTTGTAAGCTTCTGCTCTTGAAAGGCCGGTATGCTACATTAATGTTTTATCACAACAGTGGATTATCAATAATAATCATCAACCAGAGCATTGGTGTTGCCTTAGTTAAAACAAATCGTATTGAAAACAATAAATAACTTCTTGATCAGCATTGTACGTGTTATTAAGGGTGCGCTCTACCTCAGCTCGGAAATCTCAGAACGATGTTCGAAGTGTCCGCCAGACTGCGCCGTGTCAGTGCAACCCAGTTGGAGGGGAAATGGTGGGAGGAGCTAGGAGGTTCCAGGTTCGCGAGTTCAGTTGACTGCTACGCTAGACTAGACAGACAGTGCCCTGCGGAGCTCCCGACGTACACACGCGCAAGCGCAACCGGGTTGTTATTCACGTGTCCGCGTATCTTTTGCTTCTGCTCAAACCTTCATCATGCCCTGCCACCGACACTCACTGGCAGCAACGTGACGTTCGCTATCGCTCCCATAAGCTTATACAGTAAAAAGTAAAACATTCCTAAATATTGAGTCTTGTTTGTCATTATTGAATATAAAAAAAAATACTTTAGTTATACTTTGTAAAGTATCACTACATTAAATTATAGTAATCTTAAGGTTTTTTTAATCAACTGTTATATTTATTTATTTTCTTTTGTTGATGTTTAAGATTTTCATTATTATTATTTAACTCTATTCCAACTGTAGCTACACCGTAATGGGCACAGAATCAGTCGGTATCTCACACATTCTTGGGGATTATAATTATGTAATTAATGTTTACAAAAAAGGAAATGGTGATATGAAAATTTCATTTTTAAAGTATCTTTTATCACATAAAGAAAGAATCCACTCATTAATTTTTCATCGTTCATTATTAAAACCAATCATTTAAGTAAGGTTGTGTGGTTAACAAATAAAGCAATCTAAATGACAATGGTCCATTTGATTCACATAAATAAGATGCCTATTTGCAGTATTCAAAGTCAATGTTACGTCGGGTTCTAAAGTCAGAGTTGCTTCTGCCTTATTCCGGCGACCATAATTATTGGTTACCGTATTCATTTTGTAGTAAATTATTCTCAATAATATAAATATGATTGTTCTTCCCTCTTTCTGTGTCCTACACGGTAATGTACTTTTTAGACGATTCGTTGACTAACATACGTGGCGAGTCTTGTTTACCTTTTTAATGTTATCTCGCTAATAACATCATAGCAACCTGTTACATACATACGCTACAACATAAGCTTGTAAATTTAGTCAACCATCCTTCGTAATGTAATGACGTATTTAATGTGTATTATGATAATTAAATGCCAGAAACTGAGTATCTAAATCCCGTAAACTGATGCCTAAATATCGTACAAACACCAGGCGGCCCGCTGCCAGTCGCGGAAGACATTTTTGTTTACAAATATAAATCTGTTTTAAAAACACTTTTGTTCGCGTTATAAATCCGTAATATTGGTGTTATTTCTTGTGTCACGACAAACACGATGGTATTTTGAATGGAGTTTTTAGCGTCTTATTAACGATGTTAGCATACGTTTTAAAAATTAACAGCAGCATAAAAACTATTGCGAGTAAAATTTTACAATGCATGGAAATGTTAACAATAAACCTACCAGTAAGCCATACAAATTTCAGAGAGATTGGCTCAGTGATTTGTTTACAATTAAATTTTAAACTTCAGTGTTAGTGCAGAGTTTCTTAAAAACCGGTGCTTTTTAGGATCTTTCAACTATATAAATTTTTCTGGTAAACGGATTTTTTTTTTCGTTGTTACCACGTACAATTTATTTAAACCAGCTTATATTTTATTTTTGTTTCAACAAACTCGGATAATTCATCTAAGAGATATTTAGGCTCATACTCGAGTGCACATATTTATTTCGCCGACAGTAGCCGGCCGAGCTCCTAGCGCCAATGCCGCGCCAAGCGATTTTATGCCCATTTTTAATCGCTTAAAAATGATACAAGCAAACTCCGTATCAAAAAAAGCTTCATATAAAAAATAAAATTCATACTTTAATCCAAAACTTTGCCGCAGGAATTTTTTTCCTGACCAAAAAATAAAAAAGTTCCTCGCTTACTACATTTTTCATGTTTTTAGTTGTGTTAAAAAACGATCATCAGTTTTAGTTTGCCTAAATAAATTATAAAAAATATGTTTAGGTATACAGTAAGAAGCACTGTCTTTTCCAGAAAATAAAAATAAAAATTTGAAATTTTTACGTTGGCAAATAAGTGAAGCAGGGCAGGTTGAGTGAAAGTATGTTTGTGTAAAAGGCAGAGGTTCATTCGGCCCGTCCGCCTCGGTATCCCACCAATTCGACTGGTGGGCACGGACCGTTTTCCCACCACACAGCGCTCTATCCAGTAGAGTATTATACCATGGTCTGACCTTGACTAATTAAATTGCGTACGTTGTGCACTAGTGTAGTTGACAATCAATGTCAACTAAACTCTCTTGAAAATGGCGTTTGCCGTGTATGTAATAAATAAATAAAAATACTTCATTTCACTAATACTAGCTTCATTCTACTCGTAATCATTGGTTCAGGACACGAACTGTGGTTGCGGTGCTGTTTCTTTGCGTGTTACTAGCAATATTATTTTCGTGAATGATTTTGTTTTCAAATAAACTATTTGTCTTTGAAAATACGTACCATACTGTATTCTTTTAATACTTTTCGATGAAATGCTAACATACAAAGTAGGTATTTTAAGCCAAGTATGAATGGAGATGAGTATTCAGTATTCAGTTGTCATCTTCCCGCGCGCGCATGCGCAGGCTCGGAGCCATGGTTTTGGGGATGGGGATGGGATTTTGAGGCTGTAGCCTAGTAGAGCAGTATAAGGCCTTAGCCACTTATAACCCCTCTCTATACTAAATAAATAAATAAATATACTATTTGACCGAAAACTTGATTTTGGCAAGAGGTCATCGGTGCAGAGTAATTTAGTATATTGAAGCGCTGTTGTATGCCTACGGTCAGGAAGAAAATTAAAACCGTTTTAATTTACTTGTTTATGGATATACTGTATGTTGATAACATTTGGCAAATTCATTAATTTCATTCTACTGACGTATGGTCAAGAAACACTTTTTACCTTCCCCGTAGCAGCAAACCTAAGCACTCGTTAAATCTAATGTTATTTAAATAGGAATAAGTTTGTATTACTTATGGAAATATTTTAGTAAAAAATACTGTAATCATACAAGTTGAAATTCGCTTAGTGAATAGTTTTGCTGCGACAGGGTATTTTATTTGTAGCCCGTGTTATGACTTGTAGTGAATTTGAACTTGAAGTTGAATGGCTGAGTGGACCATAGGGTAAGTAAGCTCACCCTCTTCTCCCCTTCCCAGACGGTCGCCTCCAATGCCCTACGCTTGGACAGGAGGCGACTCAGACAGATCACAGGAATGGTCACTGGACATGGCTTTCTGAAATTACACCTGCATCGCTTGAGGATCCACAATGGTGACACTGCGTGTAGGAAATGTGGGCAATCAGAGGAGACTGCTGATCACCTACTCTACGACTGCACAGCTCTGAATGAGGTAAGGGACAGTACTCTTGGTGCAATGACAAGGGGCAGACACCTTCCTCAGGAGGAGCTCATTAACAGGATGCTGGAGTTCATTAAGCAACTCAGGTTTGACGGACTCTGAAGTACCATGTGGGGAGCGCAAAAAGCCCATCAGTGGCTGACGTGCAACAGGACAAGGTCCGCCCCTACAGAATCAATCAATCAATGGCTGAGTGGTCAATAGTCTAGCTAGAACATTTGAGGTATCAGATTCAAGTCCCCAACTTGGAGGGGTTAATTACAAAAATTTAAGAATGCTGTTTTAATACAGTACTATTGAGTATTGGTTTTCTTAAACTACTTTTATTATGGTTGTTATTACAACAATCTCATACCCGACGTTTATAAACAAACTTATATTTTGGTAAAGTTTTAAAGCTGTATCTGTGCAAGCAATTTGCGTTGGCTGAGTATAACTGTTTACAAAGAGGACAGTATACTCATAT